TATACATAATATTATTTAAAAAATAAACAAAAGAATTGCAAAAACTAATTTAAATTTTGAAAAATGGTTTTAATCTAACACAGTTTAAATAAATATATTTTATTTATTCTCTTCAGGGAAGGGTTATGTACACTTTTGATTGCAGCATATTTAGAATGCAGGGAACAGGTTTTATCAAACAATAACAAAGGTTGTAAACAATGGAGAGAATATTCCTGGATAGGATAGGGAAGTTTTTTTTTTATACCTTAAAGGGAGTGTTCGCGAAAAATGAAAGGAGGTATAGGTTTAAGGAGGAGAAAATTGTTAAAAACGACTCATGCTGAAGAACGTAGAGTCCATACAAATTCTGAAAGTTGCAAGATTCAACTCGGATTGTAAAAAAAAATCAATTTAATTCCAAACAAATCATTCAGATATTACAAACAATAGTCATAGATTATTTTTCGACACATTGGTATAAATTTTCAAACATTTCAGGAAAATATGAAAATGTCGTCTCCATTATCAAAAATCCTCGAAACAGTAATAAATGTTTTCAAAAGTATCTATCAAATCATAAAAATAAAAAAATATTATGAAATATAAACTATATACGAATGCGTCGAGAAATTATCGATGATTATTGGTTTAATATTTGAATGATTAGTTCGGAATTAAATTGATTTTTTACGATCCAAGTTAAATGTTGCAACTTGCTGAATTTGTATAAAGGCTACACGTTATAATAACTGTTTTCCTTTCAGATGCAACAGATAGAAGTAAGATTAGTAGCGATCAAAAGCGCGTATTTTTCGCTGGAAGCCTATACTCTCCTTTATTTTTCGCGAACACTCCCTTTTTGGTTTTGCGTAATGTAATTTCTAATAAATAAAAACTCCTTTTCACCCTATCATAATTGGAACATTTTTCGGACATATTCAAAACTTTTTTAAATCCACCTTGCACCCTAACCATTTAAGTTAGAGGTCTATTTTCTTTTCATAGCAGGCCTTGAATAGTTGGGTTTGTATCACAATACCCAATCTCAACTTAAAGGGAAAACTCATAGGATGTAGAGTGAAACCCCCCCCCCCCC